TAAGGGTGGCCATGGCCACCCCTGGCCCCCCATCTAGCTCCGCCCCTGCCCCAGGGAGCCACAGAGAGCATCCTGGGGGCGAAGCAGCTGTTTCAGCAGAGATAGATGATGTTTCTGTAGAATAAACCCAGAACAGGTTCCAGTCGCCTCCTTTATCCAGAACTTCAGCACCGACTAACAAACACAACGAGAAGCTCCTTTCAGGTGTGCGGGGGGGTTTCCTTCAGGTAGATCCCAGGTAGCGCTGACTGATGTCAGATTCCTCTGTTCTTCAGGAAGATGGAGGCCAGCTCAGGCAGCGTCCTTCTGCAGCTCCTCAGAGGACGGGAAGCCCCGCCCCTCCATGCTCAAACACCTCCGCTCCAAGATCCAATCCACAGGCCCCATCTCTGTGTCCGAGTACATGAAGGAGGTTCTGACCAACCCGGTGACCGTACGTCTCTGTGTCCAGATTAGTTTGTGTCCAAAGTGTCTTACTGACCAGAGGACGGTTTATGAAGGAGTTTGGTTCTGTTTGGATCAGTGAATTAGACCCCCAGCCTGCAGGGGGCAGTGTTTCCAGCTGTTCACGGTGGTTCTTTGTTCTGCTGCAGGGTTACTATGTGAGGAAAAACATGCTGGGAGCCGATGGAGACTTCATCACGTCACCAGAGATCAGCCAGGTGTTTGGAGAGGTGAGTCGGTCCTTCCTGTGCTGAAGCACGGCCGGGTTTGGGTCAGAACCTGTTCGATTCCAGAACCGCTGCTTTCCACCATCTAATATTAACAGATTCAGTCACCTATGAATGATGATGATGATGATGCTTTATTTCAGACAGACATCCCACCAACAAAACCTAATAACAATAAATACTTTCATTTTTCTAAATGTAAAAACCTTACTATCTCATTTACATCCTCAAATACGTGTTAATGCAAAACTTTTTCATGACTGTGAGTCTGAAAAGGAGTAGATAAAGTTTAACTAATTATACTCCTTTTCAATTCATTAATTTACTCCTAAATCCACAGCGACTCTCAGCCAGTGGTTGGTTTTTACTAACAAATATATTTAATATAGCAACAAATATTTGTTCCTAAATTTTGGAGAATTGTGGAAGTAATGAAACAGGCCTGTAATTTATGAACCGATGTCTTTCCACAGATCCGTATAGTTGGATAACTTTACAATTTTCATTTTTTGTGGAAATATACCTGTTTGAATTGACAGATTACAAATATATGTTAGTGGCTGAATAATTTCCATAATCATCTTCTTTATTATTATTATGTCAATATCATCGCAGTCAGTTGACCTTTTATTTTTACATTTATTTACTATATAATTTATTTTCCTTCACCTTCTGTGATGAACATGATTCTTTTTTTACTGACGGTTATTTTACCACATAATCAGTGACGGAGCCAGAAAATGGCTGCAAACTCACAGCTGCACTAATAACGGAAGAGGATTAGGGCCAGTGGGAAAAAATAAAAAGTTAACTGATTTTTAAATTTATTTCAGTTTATTATGGGAAAAAAATCAGAATTCTGACTTTAATCTCAGAATTCTGACTTTTTTTCTCAGAATTCTGACTTTTTTTCTCAGAATTCTGACTTTTTTTCTCAGAATTCTGACTTTTTTTCTCAGAATTCTGACTTTTTAGA